TGGATGAGAACCAGCATGCTAAGCCCACCCCCTGGCATACTCTCTGCCCCCATCTCCCTCCATGGTTTTCTAAACTGGGACTACACTGGGAACAGCAATCAATTAAAAAGCCACTCAGCTGATGGGCAGCAGCAGCTTTCCAGCCAGGCACCCCAGCGGGTTTGCACATGCTGCCCGCGTGAGACAGACCCAGTGAGCCACGGAGGAAACTGCACCCAAGGACAACTGTGTCACCCAGACGGGCAGTTCATCGTACCACTGAGCAAGAGCAGCAGCTCACTGCCAACAGCAAGGACAAGGTCTCACGCCTTCTCCTGCACTGCCACCTCCCCACTCCTCCATCCCTATCCCTCCAGGCATTTGCCTCCACCTCCCTACCCCAGGGCTTCTCCCTCCCCTTTTGCACCAATTCAGGTGTCATGTAAGAGAATTTAACCCACTTCCATCAGAAGAAAAAAAGGCTGTTCTCTTTCCTCTCCTGGGTTACACATCTGAGGTGTTAGGAAGCACAAACATCAGAGGAGCTCCAGAAAACATGACATTCCAAACACTACTGGAAGCAGAAACAGGAAAACATTAACGAAGTTGATCACACAGTGCTTAAAGTTCCTAACTGAGTCTTAGGCATTGTTGGTGAAAAGGAACTCTACTAAGCAGGCTATTACTGTTCTGAAATGAAATTATAAAAATAAGGGTAAAAGTCAGCCTGCTATGTTTCCTGAGCATTTATAACATGGGTAAAATACATGAGAACCACATATCAAAAACTTGGTATTTATTATCAAAAAAAACAGATTCATTATATATACAAAAATATATAAAAATAAAAAGGGCAGTTAAGCTATAAAAACACCAAATAAATAACTTGAAAATTTCTTTTCCCATCAATCAATATCACTTAAAGGTATATTTTCCAGGTGTTCGCTACCCAAAGCTTATTGTCTTCAACGGGAACCATGACAAAATTGTTCATGCTACTTGAAAAATGTTCTCCTTGGTGTCTCTTAATCTCTTTGCTTTACCTACTATAAATTTCTCTCTCACTGATACACAATACAAAACTGAGCTCTTGAAGAGACAGCTTACTTGGTATAAGAAACAAAATTCAAGGGAAGCTTCTGGAAAAGTGATCATATAGAAAAACCCAACAACCATACATGTATCATGGACAGACACACACAAAAAGATTGAAGTATAAAGAGGACAAAGCTGACCATATGACAAGCAACAAATGTGCAGGGTGAGGACAGGACATAGCATCTCGGGTTCCCACAATCCCTACAAGCCCTGAGTAATTGTTTTGAAGCTCATTATTGGTGGACACAAACGATCTGGTCAAGTCCCAGAGAGTACCACACAAATAAATGCGCTGGTTGATTATCCCCAAGGTTTCGGAACAGGCCTCATATGGCTACACCACCTCAAACGGTAGTGACGTCCCACCAAACATCTTTGTATTGATCACAACTAAAGCAAACGCCCACTTTCTCTGTAGAAAGCAGAGCACTTGGTCCAATTGGTGTTTTCAGGCTATGACAGGATGGAGGACAGGTCAAAGGAAGTTAGATGCGAGAGCAGAAATACAGAGTTTCAAAAGATACTTGTGACACTTTGCAAAATCACAGAGAGGATGAGGTTGGAAGGTACCTCTGGAGACCACCTAGTCCAAACCCCTGCTCAGAACAGGCTCAACTACAGCAGGTTGCTCAAGACTTTGCCCAGCTGGGTTTTGAATATCTCTAAGGATGGAGACTCCACAACCTCTCCAGGCAAGTGCTCAGTCACCCTCACTGTAAAAAAGTTTTTTCTTATGTTTAAATGGAATTTCCTGTGTTTCAGTTTGTGCCCATTGCCTCCAGTCCTGTCACAGGGCAGCACTGAGAAAAGCCTGGCTCCATCTTCATTGCTACCCCATCGTATATTTATATATCCTCCAGATGTGTCTCACCAGTGCTCAGCAGAGAGGAAGGATCACCTCCCTTGGCCTGCTGGCAGCACTCCTCCTAATGCAGCCCAGGATGCTGCTGGCCTTTTTGCTGCAAGGGCACATCCACCAGGGCTGCCACTGCACAGTGATCCTAACCTGACTGGAGAAACCAGCTCAACTGCAACTGTGATTTTATTAAAGGCTGCTGAAGGCCAGGTCAGGGAGGAAATCTGGCAACTTCTCAAGGAGCAGGAAATTCTTCTCCAACTCAGTTCCTCCATAAAAAATGGGATAATTTCACTACCTTCTGCAGTCAGCAAGTCTCTCCATTCACCAGCAGTATCAGTAAATACCACAGAGGAAATTCTTTGTCTCTATGAAGTGACAGAAATAGATACGTTTTTTAAACCTGAATCCCCACACTAATGTAGTATAGGACACGGCTGTGTATCCAAAGAGCCAGTAACAAGCAGTGGGATGGGAAAGCTGGGAGAATGATTGGGAGGGGTGAAACCTTCTTTGCTGCCAGAGACAATGGGACATGGAAATATATCTCAGCATAAATAAAGACCAAATATATAAGGGAACAAATAGCAAATAACGCAGGCACAGTTACAATGTCCACAAAGCTAGCATCTAATATTCCCTAATCCTGTCAAAGCATTCCCGGCTCCACTGCAGTTTGCAGAGTCCAACCCTTTGGCCCAAACCCTTACCAGGGCCGCCTCACCCTGCAAGCCATGCCCTTTTCTTGGCATCAGCTAGTTAAACAGCTCTTTCTTTTCCCCTTTCTGCCCATTTTAGATGATGTCTAGTCCTTCGTCCAGCAGTGACTTTCTTCCCCTTATATTCTGCAGGTTTCTTCTTCCATCCTCCCCATGATCAGTACATCTTATGACTCCACAGAGGTAAATGTCTCAAACACTCTCATCTCAGCCTACTAAGTCCATTAGCATATATATTGGAGAGAGCTGTGGTTCTTGACTGTATAGCTCACCATACTATAGCACTGCCATTACGATGGTTCAATTAAGATGAAAACAGTAGCAACCCACATGCAACGGGTCCATGCGGGAACGGGAACGTCATGAAATGGGAATGGGAACTAAAAATGCCAGCAGAACGTTGGTCTCTGTGTTTGTGTCTGGAGTACCAGCTGCAAAGACACTACCTCTGTAAATAATAATCTTCATAAAAAGCCTGGTCATTTTTAGAAACATGTTGTCTTCTCCTGTGATTATCTAGAAAGCAAAATATGAAACAGAGCTGAAACATTTCTGTTCCAAGTAACAAATTCTGGCTCTGCTATCTCTAATTAAATCACAAAAGTTCTAGTCCTAGACACTTACTTTCCATTATTTACAGTTTGACAGGTTTTGTTCATGTTTTTTTCCTAAAATTATCTTCTAGTTGAAATTTCTCATTCATGAAAGAACTTAAGTGAAATTCTCTATAATCTTTGTGTTTAGGATTTTTTTCAGAGATTTTTGAGCTCAGCATCACAAAGCCAGTCTTGGTTTAAAACTTTATATGTGCTATAATGCCTCTGACACATCAGAAGAATTGGAATGATTTCTGTATTTGAAAGCAGCGTTCTTAATATTTACAAGATGCTCATTTCCCCTCATTTTAGAAAGGCGATTCA